GGTTTTCAGTACCTTGTGGACTGGACTGGTTATGGTCCTGAAGAGCGATCATTGACGACCATCCTGCTTATACAGTGGACCGTATCTTGGATGTAAGACAACGAGGTAGAGGTCTTCAGTACCTTGTGGACTGGACTGGTTTTATGGTCCTGAAGAGCGATCATGGATTCCTCGCTCTTTCATTTTGGACTCCTCCATCATAACCGATTTTTACAGGGCTCATTCTGACAAGACGCCCAAATCGTCTGGAGGCGATTCTTAGGAGGAGGGTAATGTTATGATTGGCTATTTGGTGATCTTCGCTGATACATCTTAACATTCTGGTAGTATCCAAGCCACACTCAGCTTCTAAGTTTAGAAGATTTTACTTACCTTCATGTCCTGTTACCTAAGGTGGATTTACCTCGCTGACGGTTCCTCTCCTTGTGCCTGCAAAGAGACCTCCAATCAGGCTTGACAATCATTACCTCCTGCCAAAGCCAAATGCCTCGAACACCTCTTCATGTTTATGCCATGCTGCCTAAAAGGAACTCACCCGTGTTTTTGGATTCCTCCTCCGTTCTGTGCTGCTCGCCTCCAGAAGACCTGTAAGACAAGAAACACCTTAATTAACATTCAACCATCTCTGAAAAGAAAAACTGAACCTTTCAAAGTACTCACCTCATCTCCTCATTCCCTTACAGCTGATGACCTGCTACCCTGCACCTGTAAATAAAAAGCACTTACCTTTTTAATTTCTGTCTCCTGGTCTGGTTTTTAGTTCTGCTGACTGTTGAACAATTTTGTAAATCATATCACAGTGTCTAAGAAAGTGTTCAAAAATTGGATGCCAAAATAACTGCGCAGAAAACCAAGTTAGTTCCTATTTAAAAAGGTTTATTCTTCAGCTCTGAAACTCCATCTCACCCAGCACCAGTATGTGTATGGCCCTGAGTCTTATCAGCAAACAAAACAATAGCGTCTCTCTACTCCCACTGCTGGTTATGGTAATGTCTCTCGTAGAGCCTGTGTGTGGCCCTTGGCAATTCTCTCCCATTCATCATAACACAGTGCCTTTTAATAGTGTCCAGAACTGTCACACCTCCAATGTCTAAGAAGGGAACATGACCTCACTTATCAGTTGACACAGGAAGTCCTGAAAGTTCAGATGTACAAACATTACATGTCTGATTGTGCTGTATCTAAGCAAGGCATGCAACTACATAATCCCTCAAGAATTGGTTGTTCTCACAATAAACTTAATCACAACATGGAAACAAGTTGACTGTACATTGGTTATAGAAATATTCCATCTCAAGCATAAATATGTCAAATGCATTTCAATGGAGATGATTACAATTTTCTTCATGTTTATCATTTGAATGAACTATCCGAAGTATAATATTCAGTTGTTTTGATTCACCTTTTGAGCAATAGCTACAAAAATCTTGATTTTGAGCAAAAATGCCTTAAATGTTTGACATTTTCCATGTTTGTTAGCAAAGATATTTTTCTTTCCAGCTGTGAATGTTTAATATCCAAATACTATTTGAGGTTACCTCTTCAAAAGTACATCAAAAATTCCTCATTAGAATAATTTAAAATGGGATTCACACCAAATATTAATGTATTATTGTGATTAACAAGACAAATCAAGGCATATCTGTTGAACTGCTTATAATATCAGGATGATCCAGGTGTCAAAATGTAGCTTAAAAAGCTAAAAATTCAAAACTGAACGACTATCTTGTTTTTGCTTTCAGTTTGTGGCTAAGCTAACAGGACTGGAGCTGCAGGCCTACGCCAAAGCTGGCGCTGTAGCCGACGAAGTCCTCTCTTCCATCAGAACTGTTGCTGCTTTTGGTGGAGAGAAGAAAGAAGTTGATAGGTATGAAACAAAAACAGCTGAAGAGATGCTTTAAACATAAACTGAAACAAAATTTTGTCCTTTTTTTGAAGGTATGACAGGAACCTAATCTCGGCTCAGCAATGGGGTATCAAAAAGGGTCTGATAATGGGTTTCTTCACGGGGTTCCTGTGGCTGACCATCTTCCTTTGCTATGCTCTAGCCTTCTGGTATGGCTCCACTCTAGTTATAGACACCAAGGAGTACACACCTGGAACACTGCTGCAGGTACCACCTCCAGTTCAAAGACCGTTTCTTCATATTTTACACACAAAACACCATTTGTGACATGTCAACCTATCTGGTTTTATTTCAGGTGTTTCTCGGAGTTCTGGTAGCAGCCATGAATCTGGGTCAGGCCTCTCCATGTCTGGAGGCTTTTGCAGCCGGCCGTGGAGCTGCTACTATCATATTTGAGACCATTGACAGGGTGAGGGGGCGGTGTAGATTGTATTTATTTTCGACTGGAAATTGTTGTCTATTGATAATGATCACTTTCTGAATGCCTCCCTGCCAGGAGCCGGAGATCGACTGTTTATCAGAGGCTGGATATAAACTTGATAGAGTCAAAGGAGACATTGAATTCCACAACGTGACCTTCTTCTATCCATCCAGACCCGAAGTTAAAGTACTTTATTTTACTTTATTTATACTTGATTTTATACGTGGCTGTAGTGCTGGGCAGTATACCATTTTGTACCGAATACCGGTTGTTATTTTTATGATATGAATTTTCGGAATATCAGACATACCGGTTTAAATAGCTGAACATGTGCGGAACGTTTCGTCGTGGCCGCCAGTGAACTGTTTCCCGGGGGATATTTTTCCTCGCAGCACCGCTATGTGTGTTAGCATGCTAATGTTTGGAGCAGCTTGCTGCAGCAGTGGGTGGTGATTCCGCTGCTTATATTGACTGACGTTTAAAAAAACATCCCGTTTTTCACCGTTGCTGAATGTAGTAAACACCTCTTCGCTGATGTGCATGGTTAGATTTAACGCGCGGTTAGTTAATATGGAGACGTTATGATGATGGAGACTTAACGTGGTTCTATTGTGAAAAGTCCGGAGGAAGTAGTTTGTAGTGGAATTGGAATTGACTGGTGTGCAAGGTGAGTCTTGCTGATAAGCTTTATTAAATAACATAAAACAATAAACCCGATCATAATCTTTTCTTAACCCTCCTCCTTCACAACTGGACCAAAATGCGTGAATACTGTCTCCAACCACCAGTMAGAGAAAAGACATACAGAGGAGGGAAACAATGACACAGACAGAGGTACAGTAAAAGAAAAAAGTCAATAAGCAGTTTTTGTACATTTTATTATCAGCTGAGTTGTGATGAAAAGAAAAATACCGTCAAATACCGTCGAACCGGTGTAAATGTTGAAAATACCTTGATATAAAATTTTGGTCATACCGCCCAGCTCTACGTGGCTGAATGTGTGCAAACATTCAAGAATTTTCAATCTTTCTGCACCAATCTTAAGTAAACCAATAACAAACGAATAAAAAAAAACTAACTTTGATTTTTTTTACAGGATGAGTCAAAAACCTCAGGACACCCTTTTATTCAGAAACTAAACATAAAAAATAAATATCTGAGTACAAACAGAAAGCAAAAGGTCTATTTTTAAGGCTATGTCTGGGACATGGACACCTTATTGGATTATACATGGCAACCCCATCCGATGTTTAATTGCACGATGACCGTCAGAAATCTGTATATTTAGTAAAAATCCACAGTCCTGCCACAGAATACATGAGGGGGAATAATGGCATTTGAAGCAATGGATGGCAGTGCAGGGTGGTGATGGGGTGGGGCTGGCAGCGTTTGCAGGGAGCAGGTACAGTCTAGTGAAAGGAGGAGGGGGCAAACAGCTTTTTTGGAAAAGATTTTCTCTATACAACTGTATTCATAAAAATTGTGGAAAATTTGTGTAATGTTTGTTGGATCATAGGCAAGTTTTTCCAATGATAAGGTGGTCATATCACATATCACAGAAGACCAGGATTGTCTCAGAAATGGATTGCTGAAATCACATTTGTAGTATTTCTTGTGTTCCAAATGTTATCAAAACAGAGAGTTGCAACAAAAACTGGGACTATTGCCTGTTATTTGACATGAACAGTGTGCTTTGATCCAGTATGTCGGCTTTTAAAATGGTGGCAATGCTCCAGACATAGCCTATTACTTCCTGTTTGTATTCATATATTTCATTTTCTCTTTTGTTTCTGAAATAGAAGTGTGTCCTGAGCCTTTTGTCACACCCTGTACTCATTTGAGACGTTCAAGTTTTTTTTAGAGCTTCATTTTCTTTGGCCTCTTCATTTTGTGACGTCAGAGATTTGAGTCCGTTCCTCTGTACTGAACTGTCCAGACCACTTTAGTTGTTTGAAACATCAGATTTGAAGAGCAATGTCCTGACAGTTCAACATCTGCTGGCATGTTTCACAAATAATTAGTTTTTTTTTTTTTGGCCCTTATTAAGCAAAAATGTGACACTACTGTCAAGGCTCCTAAATCCCAGATACCAACAATCAATTTGGGGTTTTCTTGTGAATTCCACATTTCTCTTTTTGGAGAAATATTGGATGCAAATAGGCATATAGAGATGCACAGAATTTATTATTTTTACTCATTTGGTTTTTGTTGTAATAACCCTAACTGATGGATTTTAGGTTAATTGAGATTAAAAGCAGGAGGCAGAAATATTAACGAACAAGAGAAACACATTTAACAGTGTTTAGATCTCACTGTGTCATATCCTCTGCCCTCAGATTCTTGATAAACTGAGCGTCACAGTGAAGTCAGGTGAGACCACGGCCTTCGTGGGTCCGAGCGGAGCAGGGAAGAGTACCGCCATTCAGCTCATCCAGCGCTTCTACGATCCCAAAGAGGGCATGGTGGGCGTTAGTCTGTTTCTTCTTCCTCTGACTGAAGAACATTACCTCCTCCCTCCTTCTCAGCTCTCAAAAATAACCACCCCTTGAGGGTGATAGAAGTGCACGATAATCTGTTTCATTATTCAGCTAATGGGTCCTAACAGCCTCATTTTTCACTTTTACTGGAATTACAGACCCTTTCAAATTCTCTCCTTTTCTTCCGCTCAGAAAAGACACTGCTCCTTATTGCTCCCTGAAGGTTATCTATTAGCCTAACAACCTATTTATTTGATCATAGCATCACCCTGCTTTCTTTGATTTCCACCTCAGGTGACGCTGGATGGTCATGACATCAGAGGCCTGAACATCCAATGGCTGCGCTCTCTGATTGGCATCGTGGAGCAGGAACCAGTGCTGTTTGCTACCACCATTGCTGAGAACATCCGTTATGGTCGACCTGGCATCTCCATGGACGACATCGTGACAGCCACGAAGGAGGCCAATGCTTACAACTTCATTATGGACCTCCCACAGGTACAGAGGTGCATATATTAAAAAATATAGACACAGACAAATCCTCATTATTTTATATTTGACAGAAATTCGAGACAATGGTGGGGGAGGGTGGAGGTCAGATGAGCGGAGGGCAGAAGCAGCGGATTGCCATCGCTCGTGCATTGGTCAGGAGCCCTCGGATCTTACTGCTAGACATGGCAACCTCTGCCCTTGACAACGAGAGTGAAGCTATAGTTCAAGAAGCTTTGGATAAAGTATTTCTTCATCTGATAAAACCAACCATAGAAACAGATGATGCAGCAAAAATAATTATCTTATTTAGTATTTTTGGTTCTTTCCAGGTACGCATGGGTCGCACCACCATCTCTATCGCTCACCGTCTTTCCACCATAAAGAACGCAGATGTAATTGTTGGCTTTGAGCATGGCCGAGCCATAGAGAGGGGCAAACACCATGAACTGCTGGAGAGGAAGGGCATTTATTTCACTCTGGTCACTCTGCAGAGCCAAGGAGACAAGGCTCTGAATGAGAAGGCCCGGCAAAGTGAGTGAACATGGATCATTTCGCCAAACTTTCTAAACAACCACCCATTTGAGTGGATTCTCTTCTTACTGGAACCTGGCCTCAGCTAATGTATTACATCCTTTCCTACGTTGCCCATTTCTGGCCAACACAAGACACTAAACGCTCTGAAACTTGGCCCAGAAACCACAAAGAATGTCCATTGATGGTCCAGATGTGGTTTACCAGAAGTTTTCCATGCCTTGGCCTGCACCACATAAACCAAACCACAACTGGGCCATTTCTGGAATGCCATCTTAAAAGCAGTACCATCGTGTCTGCCATGTGGCTTATATAGACCTTGAAGGTTGCATACCAGCCAACATTTGCAGATGGTGATGAGAGACACCCATACGTATTAGCCAGCACCAGAGGGATGATGTAATCCTGGGAGGGTCCAGATGCATAACCTCTCAGAAAATTAAAAAAAAATCTAGTCCAAACTATGCATTTTTCAGCCATTTGAAGTGCATTCTTTAATACTTATAAAAACATAAAAGTGCTATATGATACATATACAGTATTTATTGTAAGGTAGAACAGTGATCTACAACTAGTCCTTGAGGAGAACTTCATCTGAGATCATATTTGCAAATTGTTCTACCTTTATATTGTTGTTTTATTGTTTTTTTACACACTGAACACCATGAGTTTGTAACAAAAAAGGATTAGCCTGAGAAATCCACTGACAGTAAAACTACACATCCTACTTGGCCTACACTGTTTGCTCCTTTTCTTATAGTATTTACACATTTCTGTGCTGGAGCAGTGAAACTGCTGGTTGTGGACAAAAATAAAACAAAAAAGGTCTGATCTAAAATCTTGTCAAATGCGCGACTGTCCCGTCCAAATCGGGATGTTTGGCAGGTATGAGGGCCCTCAGCAGATTGGTGCTTTTAGTTAAGCACTTTTGACAGATGGTTGATTTGGTTCAAATCTTACAAACTTAGAAGCCAAGCTAGCATTGAAATGGTTGGTGTGTTTTCTAAGTTAAATGGACCTTACGGTCTCCGTTGGTTCTCTTGTTTTAGTGGCTGAACATAAAGAAGAGGAACCAGAAAAGCTAAACCTTTCCAGAGCTGGCAGCTATCGGGCCAGTTTGAGGTACTTCTACATTCTCAACCACCTTCTCATCTTCATCACTTCCTTGTTCGTTTACTTGGTTCTTTGTTTACTCAGATCTGACTACATCTAAATAAAACTTTTTGTTACTGAAATCACCTCATGTTCAAGCAGCCACTGTTGTCATATTTTACATAAATATTTTCTTATCTTTGGGCATTTGGAGCATTTAGCATTTATAACTGAACATAAACCATTTGTTTTGTGCAGAGCCTCAATCCGTCAGCGGTCCCACTCTCAGATGTCCAATCTAGTTCCAGAGTCCTCAGTTTCCATCGCTGGAGATCTCAGCCCCAGGGCCTTCTCAGTGTCTCCACAGGAGAAATATCAAGTGTGTGGAGAGGTTTTTCTACCTGATTTTAAGATAAAATAACTGAAGCTGTGGCCAGATTTTACATTCATACTTTAGAGATTTTTTAAAAACAGGAGTTGAGTTAAAAAGTTAGAATTTATTTAGGAGTTTCTCTAATCCCCACTTGGTCAAACCTATCCAGAAAAGCTCAAACAACAACAGAAACCCTAATATTTTATTAAATGTCTCGTAACAAGTTGCACTTGGACCTCAGACTGCTGTTTAACCACTTGTCTCAGCAGAATTTGTAGACTTCTTTTAGACTGTTTTTTTCCCTCAGACCCAGCTTTTAAGCATAGGTCACAAATGATCAAAAGAGCTGAGGGRCAGGTTTTTGGGAAGGCCGTTCCAGAAGCCTGACTGATCCAATCAGAACCCAGTTCTGATGTGTTTGGAATCATTGTCCTGCTGGACCAAGATTCAGTCATTTAGCTGCCTATCTGAAGTAAAGTTAAAGAACTGGAAGTACTCTGCCCACTTTGTACAGACCACCACCATGCTTGACAATTGGCTCACCTTTACAAATCAGAACATATTATGTGTGACTGTGGACAAACAGCACTAACCATTTGTCCATCAAGTTGTGTTCTGGCCCACACAATGCAATAAACACTAACACTTGGCCCAGATACCACAAGGCATAATGGCCCTTTGGTGGCCCAAATGTAGTTTATTGGTGGTCCATGCATGGGCCGGCACCACATAAACCAAAACAAAATTGGACCTTTTGTGGTATTGACAGATTTGGGCCACATAAAACAAACTAAAATGAAATGAAAAATTAATTCTGCTTTTAGCTGAGTAGTGGAACCATTTATACAATCAGTCACTTTACAGTTACCATCCATATTCTGGACCATGGCTGCGTTGGTTTTGGGGACTAGATTCTTTGGGCTCATTTTTCAGATATTCACACAAGTGCATTCAACACTCACGGCTTCAGGTACATGGCCCCTAAACTCACTTACTCCTCTGGCTAATAAATGTGCTCTATGCAGAGGGTTTTTTATAAACACCATCATGTGTCACATTGTTAATATAATATGATGTTTTGCTTTGTTTTTTCCTCATCTTCCCTTAAGTGGTTTTAAGTTTTTTCTTTTAAGGTTGCGCCTTCTCATGATGTCTTCATGAAGCTAATCCTTGCTCTGTGCAGGGGTCTGTGGCTGCATGACCCAGAGCACCTGTTCTCCCATGTTTGTTATGTTCTGTCTTCTTCTGAACGGGTGTTCTGAACTGTAATTTCATTGTGCTCTGTACAATGACAATAAATCTCTATCTAATCTAATCTCATCTAAAAAAAACTACTATGGTGTTAGCAGACAGAAAAAGCATTGTAGACCCTTCAGCACCATTTACTGAAAGATTTTTGTGACTGATTGTATTTATAACAGTTCCATGCTGGAAAAAAATAGGTTCTAATCGTTCATAAAAAGCCCAAATCAATGTGACACTGATGCTGTAATGAGTGACTGCAGCTTTGTTTGACCCATCCTTTGAATGATAACAGATAATTATTTCACTGTTGGTTCCCGTCTATGTGTATCTGAACACGCAGAAACAAGAAGAGGAGGATGAACTAGTGGAACCAGCTCCCGTTGCCAGAATCCTCAAGTACAACATACCAGAGTGGCCCTACATGCTTGTTGGTTCTTTTGGGGCAGCAGTTAACGGAGGAGTCAACCCAGTTTATGCTCTGCTGTTCAGTCAGATTCTGGCGGTGAGGCTTTCAGAATCTAAAATGACCTTAAAACTAAAAACGTCATACTGATGCTTTAAACTAACAGTAAAACAGTTATATTTCTTTAAATGTTGCTTATTAAATGTTTATGTACACATTTGTAGACTTTTGCCATCACAGATCCTTTGACTCAGAGGACAGAGATCAATGGAATCTGCCTGTTCTTCGCCATGGTCGGCATCGTCTCTTTGTTCACCCAGATGATTCAGGTAGAGTGAAAAACTGACCTCTTCAGAGTGAGGTCACAGGAGACGTCCTTCTGTTGGTTTATTTCAATGAGGAAAAAAACATACATTTTCTCATTTCTTATAAAAACTATTTAGTCAGTCAGGATGGACACTATTTGTCCCAGATCCTGAATATATTCAGTCATATTCAGTAAGAGATATTTTATATTAGTTTTTTGTTGTGCTGTTTTTTTTTTAAATATTTTTTTGGACAGGGTTATGCTTTTTCCAAATCTGGTGAGCTGCTAACTCGCAGGTTACGTCGGATTGGGTTTCAAGCCATGCTGGGTCAGGAGATCGGCTGGTTTGATGACCATAGGAACAGCCCTGGGGCTCTGACCACACGCCTGGCCACGGACGCCTCACAGGTTCAAGGCGTAAGTTCAAGATTTGAAACCTAAAATTACATTTAATGTCTACATCTCTTGAATCACTCCACATGTTTTAATAAACTTCGTGTTGGGTTTCTTCAAAGGCTACAGGATCTCAGATTGGCATGATCGTCAACTCTCTGACCAACATCGGCGTGGCGGTCATCATGTCCTTCTACTTCAGCTGGAAGTTGACGCTGCTCATCCTCTGCTTCCTGCCCTTCATCGCTCTGTCAGGAGGCTTTCAGGCCAAGATGCTCACAGGCTTCGCCAAGCAGGACAAACAGGCCATGGAGGCTGCTGGACAGGTCATACAACCTGTCTTTGCTTGTTTCAAACTAAGTGACATTATTCAGATTTTCTGTGACAAGATTCTGTAGAAGCTGCATCATAATAATCCATCCGTCCATCCGTCCATCCGTTTCCATCAGCTCCTCTGGGGGAATCCCAAGGCGTTCCCAGGCTAGCAGAGAAACATAGTCCCTCCAGCGTGTCCTGGGTCCTCCTCTGGGTCTCCTCCCAGAGGGACGTGCTGGGAACACCACCAGGGAGGCGTCCAGGAGGCATCCTAACCAGATGCCCGAGCCACGATAATCCGTTTGCCTTAATTTTTTTTTATTCTTGTAAAAGTTGTTGTTTGTGACACATGAAAACATCTACCTGTAGGTACTTAAAAACCTTAAGATATTTATTACACTTTTCACTTATGCACATCACCATTTTATTATAGACGCAATGCGTTCTGGGGATGATGACGATGATGGTTTGCATCTGAGACCAAAACACACAGAGTTAAGACCAGGGGCGAACTGGGGAGGAAAATGGCCTGGTAGTTCCTGACAAACTGGCCTWCTTTCAACTGCTGGGTTAAAATGACTTAGACTTGAACATGAGTTTGTTCAAAATAATTACATTTACAAAACAAGCTAAGATGCATGTTTTTGGTCTGTGAGAGGAAACTGGAGAAAACCCACATGCATGTGCACAGGGAGAACATGTAAACACCGCCCAGAAAGGTCTCAGGCTGAGATTTGATCCAGCAACCTTCTTGCTGACAGACAACAGCTCTACCAACTGAGCCACTGTGCTGTCAARTTTTAAATTTATAATGCTGAAGAATCTCAGTCATCCAGGACATGATCAATTCAAAAAGGTAAACTTCTATTCTGAGTTTTAACCTTTAGAGACCTTTATAATTTTAAATTGACAAAGCCTCCCTGATTAAACAGAAGTCCAGTTGTATTGTTTTTTTTTCTTTTAGGTAATCCACACACACACACACACACACACACACACACACACACAC